AATGCATTGGCAAACATCCCAGTGTATTACTTCTTTGTATAAGCTGGCAGAGAATATCGATTGTGAACCACCCCAAAATCTTGGAGAATACGTTCGATAACTCTTGCTTTTTTAGCGCATATGTACCTCAGCCACTTTCAACAGTTTAAGTGCTTGTCCCTAACCTACAGCATCTGTGGAGAGCCATGCAAGGCGGTGGGCAGCAACATAGTAGTACACAGCGATGCTTTCGGCTGTCGTACAAGCCTAGCACCTGTCCAAAGTCAACCTGATGCTAGAAGGTCGCCCGCCGCCCATCAACAGATTTGGTACGGGTAGTGTCACAGGCTCAACAACAACTACCTCTCTGCCGAACTCAGAGGAGGCAAACACCTACCAGGTATGTAGGCAAGGCGCTCATAACATCTAACACTTCTTTCCGCACATCTTCAAGCCGACCATCCTGAAACTGGAAATATCTACTATAGACTGCGCCTATCGACGCTGCCCGCTTTACCTAAAGAGTTGAGCACCGCCACAACAATAACTGTATTCAATAGATGAGAATTCGTAAAGATGGTGTGCCCAACTCGAAGGCAAAGGCAAGTGCAAGTTATGAAGTTTGCAGGATGAACTTGGACAAGCAAACCCTAGAAGGTTTAGAGTTGATCCTGAGGAAGTAATGGTAAAAATTCACGGAATAAGCTGTTGATTTTGTACATCGCTTACGTGCTACTTCTTCTTCTTGATTGGCCTTTGTTACCTTCAGACAACTTTGAGCTGTTTTCAGATCTTCTTAAACAACCTACCTTTGTGAGCAGAACTGATAAAGCTACTGCAGAGCTCCGGCGATAGGAAAATATTGAGGTATATTTTCATATGGACTTCGATATAATTAATTGGTGGGAGGTACATAAATGCGAAACGCCGCTGCCGCATAAACTCAGTCGTAGAGTAATAGCCACTCCTTCAACTAGCGCATCGTCAGAAAGAGTTTTTTCTTCTGCTGGAAATGCTATTTCTGACAAAAGATGCCACCTTTTGTCAAATGATGATGCCCTTAATCAGTTGATATTTTTGCATTATAATATGCAGTTAGGAAACCAATAAAATTAACAATCGGTGTCACACTTTCGATTGATTCCAAATTTTTTTTATGGGTTCTATACATGGAATAAGATAACACGTGTCCGAGGAATTTTTTCTGTCGCTTTTTTCTTTGGAGATATGATCCTTCAAAGTTTGCATTTTTTTATATTTCGGGTTCTGCTAAAGAAACGGGTTTAATATTTCTATATATAAGATGGTCAAGATTGTCCTGAAGCTATCTTAGCTATAAACAGTTGAACTTTTTGAAGTTGATTTGCAATAGTGAAGACCAGTAAATTAGAGATTCAAAATTATACCATCGTAATCCCCGTCTAATTCTCTATAAAAACGTGATTAAAAAAATGGGTTTTTCAAGAACTATTTTTAAAATATTTTTCTTTATGGCGAGATGGATTATTTTGTGAGAATCAACTATTAAATATGTATGTTGAGATATATTTAGTAAGGTGTTAAACATCGAGTTTTTGTAAGAATTTAAATTTTATTGCGACTCCGATAGAATACCTATACTCGTATAATATTTGTATGGCAAGATTTTTCTTTAAGCCGACGAACCTCTAGAAATGGGCCTGGTAATTGCAGAACTAAAATTAGCAAAACGCAGATTTTATTGCGGATTCGGCAGAAAATCGCTTCGTTAACAACATTTGTTCCACAACTTTTTCAATCAAATAATATTCTAGAAATGGGCGTGGCTATATTAAAACCAGAGTTCAAAAATTTAGACTTTATTTTTTATCTTGCCATACAAATATTACATTTGGATAGGTATTCTATCGGAATCCGCAATGAATTTTTACTTTTTGCAAAAACAAAATGTTTAACACCTAACGAAATATATTTTAACATAAGTTTTCGAAAAAAAATTATAAAAAAAATTGTTGGTTCTCACAAAATAAACTATCTCGTCATAAAGAAAAATATTTTAAAAGTGGTTCTTGAAAAACGCCCACACTCTATATTTAGGACTAAATACCAATTTATAAGAAAATAATAATATCGAAACACCGTAATCATCTGGCCGGCCACCATTTTAAAGAATTGAAAAAAGGAGCGCCACGTACTAATACCACGACAAAATGAGACTGTGTTGGTGTGCCCAGCATTGATCTACATAAATGCTATTCCCAAACTGCCGCTTAGCACGTTTATTTAACTCAGTGTCAATATGGAAGCATACATTTAGGAGGTATTTCCCCCTGATTTACATGTATGACATTTGTGTTAGTGTAAATTTTTAATAGATTTTTCGTTTTAGACTAATTTGAAATTTGAGTAATTTTCTGCACTTTAACTTCAAAATACCTCTGCAATGATATACAAGGTGAGTCAAATAAGGCCTACCATTCATAGGTCCATAGTTTGCCTAGCAGTGTGCGGAAACACAAATTAGGATGCTGCTCTGCCTTTGGCCGCAAAAAAATGTCAATCATTGTTCTGTAAGAAGCCCCAGAAATCGTTTCTGGCGTTTCATCCTCATTCTCAAAGAGTTTTTCGGCCATAACACCGCACCAAACAGTGCATCTGGATGGGTGTAACTGGTGCTTGGATTTTCAGAGCGCCACAGTCTACATCTTTGCTTAGAAAGAAAGTTAGTGTACAGAAATGAAGTTTTCCTATTATATACATACATACATATGCATCAGATTTTAAAGTTAATTTTTCATCATTTTTATTCTTTCTCATTTCCGTAATTTAAACTCCATATAAAACTATCTTCCTTTAGGCATTGCTGTTTTGGCTGCTTCGGTTTGTTTAGCGGCGTGAGATTTTGATTTGGGCATTGTTGTTTTGGCTGCTCTGGCGGTGTGTGATTGTGATTTGGATTTCTTATAACCAATTCACCAGTCCGTGAAGAGGTGATGACGCGCGCATGGCAACGAATTTCACGATTCCTTGCACAAAGCCAATACGTTTTTGGGCCTTTGCAAAAGTTTCGCAAGTACTCATAACCGGCGAAAAATAATTTCAGTTTGCCTTTTCTGCCACGAGTGATCTCCAATCCACATTTCATAGCTAAAGCCTCCACGTCTGAAAAATTAATTGATTCAAAATAAATGTGTTAGTAAAAGTTAAATTCCTTAACATACTAAACGAAAAAAAATACATATTCAAAAAGGTGTAAATTAGCATT